AGCAGGGGCTCTTCGAGCTTCGGAGCTCTGGGAGTTCCAAGAGAAGCCGCAGTACTGGTACTATACAAACGGTTTCTTTCTCTAGCATAATGCTTGCGGCGCTTCACCCAACTCTGGTTACGAATGCGATTACGCTTGGGTGTGATGGAAACATGTGGGCCAGCTGTGCACCCTTCTGTATAGCCACTCGAGTCGAGAGAGCGACCACAGCAAAGGTAACTGCAGAAAAAACCGCTGTAACGCAGGCCAAAAACAACACTTACGTTCTGGTGAATTGGAGGTAGTTTCCTCCAGTAACCTCCAGATTATCTTCATAACCCTGGGGATGGTAGGAACACTCATTGCTAGTGTTATCGGACAAACGAAAAATAGCACCACAGCGATCCTGAGAGTGACTGTGGGCTAAGCATTATACCATGCTACTTACACAAGGTCTTTCGCGCTGCCATTCTTTCTGAAGGCACGGCAAAATCGCTGCATTGATGCCTCTATTGGTCGAGCTAAGGGCTCGCAGACCGCCCCAGCGACCAGTAGAGCAGAATCTGAAATATGAGAGATCTTATCAGCAATTGATGTCTAGAATGAATAGGGTTACCCTCCGATTCTAGCAAGAACCTCAGGGGGAAGCTCTGATAGCGACCCCGTAGGCCTGCGTATAGGATCCTTGATTGACATGATTAACTATAGATTAAAAGGAAGGGGTGTGGGTAGGTACAAGACCTAAAAAAATATGTGAAGTAGCTCCACCGAACGGTTACTGTGAGGTTCTTTCACTCCTAACTTAACATGAAGAGATAAAAAAGAGAACTAGCGTAAGATCGTTTCACTAATGGGATGAGAAGATTCATGTTTGATCAAGCCCCTCAAATTGACCTCATGTCAAGAAACCTCGAGGTCTAACGTGAATTTCCAAGCATGTGTCACTCCGTGAATGCGTTGAGATATGCCAAGATTGCAAGATACAAGCATATGAGATTAGCTATTTTGGTATGAGCATTTACTATTAGCCCATTACGTCATGTCAGCTACGTCTGGAGTTGTATCAGTGGGAGATCAGGATGAGGTTGCTGAGGTGTCTGATCCTCTCCCGCCTGCCACTGTCCACGGGGAAACCTGTCATTCTACCGGGATTACCAGAAGGCTTCCGAGGCGGAGTAACCGTCTGAAGATTGGGCTAAAACGTACTGGCAAGGTCAGCTCTATTAGTAAACTGGCAGCTCAAAATATAACGGTATCGTCATCATCACCTCCAAGTGGTGGAAGTTCTGTGGATTCAGCGCCATCAGCTCGGTTGGGAGCGGTTTCAGATGCACGGGAGCGAGCACCCCA